GAGCTGAGGGACACGTCTGTGAGCTGAGGGACATGTCTGATAGCTGAGGGACATGTCTGATAGCTGAGGGACATGTCTGATAGCTGAGGGACATGTCTGATAGCTGAGGGACACGTCTGTGAGCTGAGGGACACGTCTGATAGCTGAGGGACGCGTCTGATAGCTGAGGGACACGTCTGATAGCTGAGGGACACGTCTGATAGCTGAGGGACACGTCTGTGAGCTGAGGGACACGTCTGAACTGAGGGACACGTCTGAACTGAGGGACACGTCTGAACTGAGGGACACGTCTGTGAGCTGAGGGACACGTCTGTGAGCTGAGGGACACGTCTGTGAGCTGAGGGACACGTCTGTGAGCTGAGGGACACGTCTGTTAGCTGAGAGACGTCTGTGAGCTGAGAGACGTCTGTGAGCTGAGAGACGTCTGTGAGCTGAGAGACGTCTGTGAGCTGAGAGACGTCTGTGAGCTGAGAGACGTCTGTGAGCTGAGAGACGTCTGTGAGCTGTGGGACACGTCTGTGAACTGAGGGACACGTCTGAACTGAGGGACACGTCTGAACTGAGGGACACGTCTGTGAACTGAGGGACACGTCAGTGAACTGAGGGACACACCATTTTAATTATCAACAGTTTATACATTATTCAGGAACACAACTGGGTTAGCTTGATTATAAGCAAAGCAGCACCTCATTCGAAATAGTACTGTGAGAGTGACCAACTGACTGCACATTCTCAAAATGTTAGCTGTACGAAGAACAAGATATTAAACTGACCTCGTTTTTGTCTAGGTTTGTAACTTTTAGATTTTCTTTGCTTCTTATCTCTTTTTCTTTGTTCTTCCTTCTCAGCTTCAATATCTGATTCAGTCTGTTCAAAGACCGACATATCAAAATGCTTCCTTAGCTCTGTAATGTGTGAGATTCAAATAGAACGGCAAAGCAATGGCAATTTATGTTTTTTCTAGTAAATCTTGTTATATCACAAAATTACTATGGTTTGTCTATTCTGAGGCATATTTATTGCTATTAATTATTCATGATATGCAATTAAAATTACCAGAAGTACAGTTGTATACAGAGAACAGGGGAGATTAAAAGTTTACAATTCATGCTACTCATTAGCATAATTATCTAAAAAAACAGCTGGTAACTATAGAGGGCGCAGCAGTACAGTACAAGACCAGAGATTTTACAAATTCATTTTCAAAAATCAATTACTAATAGAAAAATGAAATTGCCTTGGCTGGACAAGTCTACTTAATAATAAAAAACAGATTTTTG